GGTATTGTTAAACAGAATGAAGGACTTCGTAGATGTAGACCTTTGTCCGCTGGAACTATGACAATATCTTTTCTAGTTCTAAGTTCCTTCAAGGCTTTTTGTTCTTGTGAAATCCAATGGACCAGTACTCCCTCGATTCTACGGCAGACCGAAAATACACAAACCAAACATTCCACTACGTCCAATTGTAGCACTGCCCGGAACGCCAACATACAATTTATCAAAAGAAATTTCACGAATACTGAAACATTTAGTCGATTCATCCAACCACTCTATCAAATCTCCTACACAATTCCTGCGCCAAATTAAGGACATTCAAATCAACCACGACGAACTGATGATATCCTTTGATGTAACAACATTATTCACCTCAATTGAACCAAAGTTAGCGAAAGAAACTATTTCCCTTCTCCTCGCCAACGACACGAATCTCACAAAGTACACAAAGCTTCAAAGTAAAAGTCTACTAGAACTCATCGATTTATGCCTAACGACGTATTTTCAATTCAACAACAAAATCTACGAACAAACGAAAGGGACACCAATGGGGTCACCAATATCAGGAGTGATCGCAGAAGCAGTGATGCAAAGACTAGAAGCCGCAATACTACCTGTGATCAAACCAAAAATCTGGATTCGCTATGTAGACGACACATTCGTCATCGTCAAAAAGAATGAGCTAGAAAACACTTACAAACTGATCAACAACGTCTTCGATGACATCAAGTTCACAATGGAACAGGAGACAAACAACAAACTACCATTCTTGGATATATTAATCACTAGAACTAATACAGGAAAACTAGAAACTCAAGTATATAGGAAACCGACCCACACAGATCAAATTCTTAATTACAATAGCAACAACCCAAGAGCACATAAAATCAACTGCGTACAAACTTTGTTCAAGAGGGCGAGGACACACTGCAGCACACTGGCAGCACGAAGAAAGGAAGAGAAATACCTGAAGGACGTATTTCAAAAGAATGGCTACCCAATCAACTTCATCAAAAAATACCAACCACATGCAGCATCAGAACACAAATCAAGCACAGGAATTGACAAACGGATCACACTACCATACATAAATGGCATATCAGAGACCGCAACAAGACTGCTAAAAACCTTCGGAATAGGTGTGGCACACAAACCGACAAAATCACTACAGTCAATTCTATGCAAACCAAAGGATAAAATAACAAAAGAAGATAAATCAAACATCATCTACAAAATAAATTGTGTCAACTGCGACAAACACTACATCGGACAAAGCGGACGCCCCCTTCACCTGCGCCTACATGAACATCAATTAGCAGTCAAACGGCATGATATCTCCTCACTTATATCAATACACGTCACAAGAACAAAAAAGACTTCGTAGATGCCCAACTTCGAGATCAACAGGCTGGATTCCGTAAGGATTGATTGTGTACAGACCAAATCGCAACTCTACGGATCATTGTTGAACAATCAATTAAATGGAATTCATCACTTCACATCAACTTCATTGACTACGAGGAAGCATTTGACAGCGTGGACAGCACAACACTATGGAAGCTACTTCGACACTACGGCGTACCCGAGAAGATGGTCAATATCATACGGAATTCTTATGATGGATTAAACTGCAAATTCGTGCATGGAGGACAATTGAAAGACTCGCTCGAGGTAAAGAACGGTGTCAGGCAAGGTTTCTTACTCTCACCCTTTCTCTTTCTCCTGATGATCGACTGGATCATGAAGACGTCAAAATCTGAGGGGAAGCATGGGATACACTAGACAGCTAGAATGCAGCTGGACAATCTAGACTTCGCAGATGATCTGGCTCTTCTATCGCACATGCAACAACAAATGCAGAAGAAGACGACCAGTATAGCAGAAGCCTTAGCAGCAGCAGCAGCAGTAGTAGTAGGTCTCAACATACACAAAGGGAAAAATATGATTCTCCGATACAACGCAACATGCACCTATAGAATCACACTTGACGGAGAAGATTTGGAATATGTAAAGACCTTTACATATTTGGATAGCATCATTGATGAACACGGTGGATCTGATGCAGTTGTGAATGCGCGGATCGGCAAAGCAAGAGCAGCATATTTACAACTGAAGAATATCTGGAACTCAAAACAACTGTCAACCAACACCAGGATTTTCAATACAAATGTGAAGACAGTTCTACTGTATGGGGCAGAAACCTGGAGAACTACGAAATCCATCATCCAGAAGATACAGGTGTTTATTAACAGTTGTCTACGCAAAATACTTCGGATCCGTTGGCCAGGAACTATCAACAACAACCTACTATGGGAGAGAACAAACCAGATTCCAGCAGAGGAAGAAGCGCTTGATGTGGATAGGATACACATTGAGGAAAGCACTCAACTGAGTCACCAAGCAAGTCCTCACTTCGAATACTCAAGACTAAAGGAGAAGAGGAAGATCAAATAATACATTACGCCAAGAAATGGAGATAGACATGAGGAAAATGAATCGGATGGAACTAGAAAAAAGGCCCAGGACAGAGTGGGTTGGAGAATGCTGGTCGGCGGCCTATGCTCCATCGGGCGTAACAGGCGTAAGTAAGTAAGTAAGCAAGTAAGTGAGAATCAGTGAGCAGTAGTGTTCAACTGGGTCTGTTGTGAGATAGTAACTCACTGAAGACAATGGTGGATGTGCTGCTCAATTTCGTGGATTAATTAAAGTTAGACATTAACACCATTAGATGTCGGACGGCTCAGTGGTCTAGAGGTTAAGCGTTCGCGCGCGAGACTGATAGATCCTGGTTTCGAATCTCGTGATGTGGAGTGGTGGATGCGCGCTGATAAGGAGTCCCACAATAGGACGAAACGACAGTTCAGTGCTCCCAGGTTTTCCATGGTTGTCCAGCTTCAATTGACTCATGATCTCAACTATTGAAATAAATAACTCATGAACATAACATGTTGAATGTAAGTAGCCATTATAATTATTTAATATATATTCACGCACATATTCACTGACTCAATCTTCTGATATTTGTTTAGGATCACAGGTCCAGTGCGTAAATGCAAATTACTATCTCAGTCTTTTCAGTATTTCAATAGCAAAACGATTGTGCCATCATGCCACGTCAAATAATCCGTTAAAGTCCTCTCTTATGGTCTTTACTATTAAGTAACATATCCTGGATAATATAAGTTGACATGCCATTGTTGAGGTGAATTAGCCCTATTGAAAAAAGAACAATCTAGCGAGTTCTGCGAACTGTTTGAAAACTTAACTTAATCGTCAGCTGTCTGGCATAATTTCAACCTAGATTCATTCAGTTCGGTGATTGTAAGTGGAGAGAAACACGCGAGTCAAGTGTGAATGATAATTTGCATTCGAGAGCAAGGAAATTATTTATACATTTTTAGAATAATAAAAAAACCAACTAATATTTTTATATACTTGAACTATGATAGGTTTTTGTTATTCTCCCTACAACTGAAGTCACAGGATTTTCTAAAATAACTTGAGCAATTAAAAACTGGAAAGATGACTCTATTCGAAAGTCACAAATAATAGCCTCCACATTTAATTATATATTTAGGTAGGATTAATTCATTGTTGTCCTGAAACTATAATTTGACCACACTTATTAAGGTTCACTGAACTCCAAAAATTATTTGCTTAAAAGTTCGTGTAACTTCAAGCTAAATACCATTAGTATGATTAATGATTTTTAGTTTTTTGATCAGTCACCCAGAAATATGTTTGCGTTAATAAGAAAATGTAGCCGCCTAAATACTTCTGTTGTTAAAGTCAAAGGGCCCTAAAACTGAAGATCTTTGAATATAAATCCTTTATAATCTCCGCTCATACTGCAGAGGTGTAGTGAACGAGAACACAAGTGAGGACAATCGAATGTATTTGAGCACAAAATTACAGAATCTCTTAGTGAAATCTGAGAACACAGTAAATACTTCATTTGCGAAATGCCAATCACTTATTTCAGACTTCATTGTTCCTTCGTTTCCACACCAATCATTCTTTGTTCTCGTTCTCTTCTCTTCGATTTTCTTAGCCTTCTATCTGTCGACATCAGTAATACACACTACAGAGGGAATATTTGACTAACAAAATATGGTATTTAGATTTCAGCCTTTTTCTGTGATAGTAAGTTATCTCTGAACTCTTAATACACACACTAGCTAATCAGGATCAAGACAGCAACACTAGCATTCCCATATAGAATTAACCTTATAGAGAGCTTCTAAGATGGTCTGTTTATTTGAGATAAAATTGTTGGAGATGGAAAGCTACAAAAGAAACACTATGTGGGAAGCTTACTTTCACTAATGCAGATACTAAGTAAAATATAATTTAACAATAACTAATCTCATCGTAACTTTCTCAACGTAAACTTTAAACCATGTCATTACTGATACATTGTATAATGGAAAATGACTCGTAGAGTGGGAGTGCTTAAAAATAGTGGAATTTTCAGTAATATGGTTCTCAGCTCGTCTCAAAACGTCAATTGGTCAACTTTTCCAGTAGTTTTCACGTAAATTTCGTGACAACTATGAGTGCGAGTGCAATAAAATCTGATAAAGAACCCAATACAAATTGAACATTTTTGAATGAACCAGTTTTTGTAGATAAAATAGTCTGCTTTTAGATAAAAAAACAATTAAAGAGCTTGAATGAACAAATGAACCACAGAAAACAACTACATATCTTTAGTTTTCATACCGTAGCTATTTTGCTTAACGATAATAAACAACTTAATTTACTAACTTTAATAACAGTGGGAATAGAATACAATTGATTCTAGACTATCTTTTTAACGTCATTTAATTAGTTACATTCTGTGTAATCACAATTCTTGAAATTTACTTTATCAAGTAAAAACAGAAAACTCCAGTTTTACGTAATTGAGGCGATTGATGAGAAGCGCTGAACTTCAATGGTAACTGATTCAACTGTAAGACTACAAAAAAGGCTAAAAGCTCCATTGAAAACAAAAAACCAGCTCATGATAAAATAAATTTACTTTAGAATTACATACAACTGCGAATAAAGTTAAAAAATGAATCTAACATTTTAATAAAATGAATATTTAACTATACAGCCGAATCCATAGCAACATTTGATTGCAAATGTGTGGTAGAACCTAAACGTTCTGCTTGCCTTGTCATTGTGCCTTCATATCTTGATTCTGATCTTATATTTGGACTATACAATGACTGTGTTGAAGTAGGACCATGAGTATTCTCTACATTTTGAAATAATTCACTTTCTGCAGCCCGTAAATTTGCTTCTAAAACAGCAATTCGTTGAGCCTCTAGTGATTCCCTAAGTTTAGCCGATACTGTAGCTCCTGATGTTCCAGCTACAGTACCTCCTACAGCACCTGGAGCGATTGTACCACGACTTAAAATACTTGACTTTCCAGGTGCCATCAATGTACTAGTGGGACCAATTTGTGATCCAGGTTGGTAGCTAACAAAAGTAGAAGGTACTGTTGCAAAAAGTGAAGGGACTGTTCCGGAACCTCCAATTTTTGACTCAGTAGCTGATGCTTTACCATCATAATATGAAATATTCTTTTGTGATGTATAATATGGATTAGTTCCTAGGAATTTTTGTCTTAATAATGGATCTTGCATGTAACGTTTACTTTCTACTGACAAATAATGTGTCACTAATCCAAAAAGACAAAATATTGTGAAGAATCCAGATAATACTGCGAATGCATAACTCCACGATAACATATTTAAATCAGGTCTTGGTAGCCATTCGCGATCTTTACTCATAACTCCCATGAGTATTATAACCACAACGAAACAAGCAACTAAATGTGAATTTAAAAGAAAAAAAAATTTATATAAGTCAATCAACATGTCTACAGAAAATATATAACTGAAGTTAAGTGGAACTTAGGCAAAAGCCCCTATGTTCTAAATTGAGATTATTTATATAATTTAATTTTTCTCTATGTTAGAAACCACTCTAATAGGTCAGAATATTCATCATTCAGTTAGTTGGTTAGTCATGGATAAAACAAAACTTAAGACAAATTTACTATATCTTACATTAACACTGTGAGAAAACTTCACAAAGTAAAATGCATAAGGAGAGGGAAGTAATATCAAATACAATAAGAAACTAAATTTGACAAATTCAGATGAAAAGAAAGCAGTAAGACTAATGAATGGGAAGTTGACAATGATATTAAACTGAAGACTTAGAGGGAAATATAGAAAGAATTAGATTGGTTCAAGCATTAACTATGGTTATCACGCGTATTTAAACATAAACGCTTGTATAAGTTGATGGATATCAGTTGAACGTCCAATGATCTTATAACCTAATTCCATATCTTCTCCACGCCATTTGAAACTTCTGCATCACATCCACACTAGCTACTGTTCCACGTCGTAGTATGTGGTGGGTTGGGCAAGTGTATAACATTTCTCAATCACTGAAGTCGATAAGTATTAGTGGCCTCATCAATAAACTTCGGATCTAAACCAAAAACTTTATTCACCAAACGACTTCTTCCGTGAGCAATCCCCTTAGAACGTTTAGAACGGGAGACGTTGCAAATGAGTTGTTTGAGATAAATGACGTGGCAAAATAAATTAGTCAATGTGTGATATATACAATATACATTATAACAAGAATTGTGGATAATCAATTGAATAGAAATTGCGAATATGTTCATGTATATATAAACGTGCTTTTGAACTACCAGTACCTTTTTAAGTGATATAACATCAGCCTCCCCCTACAGTATGAAAGTCAATACAGCAATATCATTAGAGTGCATCACTTTAAGTCATTACATCTCATTTCAACGAAGTTGTAACAAGTTAACAAGATAATCAAAATAAAATGAGAAATAACATCAAAGCAATCGAAATCTTAACATGAAAAATACAGTTCCGAGGAGACAAACATAATCGAAGAATAAAAATTAAAAATGATAATAAACAAGATTTAGGACTACTACAGCTCCACAATGATCTATTTTACCCTATGTCATGAAACATCCACAACGATTATCGGGGTATTGCAACAAACTCATTCAAGATGTTTGCACCTGCCAACATTGGTCAAAATGCCAATCATTGACCTTACGAATCGAAGTCACACTTTAGGATGCTCGCTTGTAGGTTTCTTCAACCTAGATTTATGTTACTTAATATTGTATCTCAGAATATGTAGCAATCAAGTATACGTCAAACATATCCTAACTGGATCCAGAAATAAAGATTTATATATACATGAAAACCATTTTATTTATTTGATGTATTTTTGTTTATGACCGTAACACTTCAGTTAGATTAAGCACCTGTATATTTTGAAAATGGATTTGATCACAAATTGACAAAATCTGGATGAATATTGAATAGCTCTTTTGTTTTAATTCCAGACTATTCATGAATGCTCATCCCCATTCTTCCATCTATGTATTTAATGATTACTGGCTTACTCATGACTACCTTTAAAGTGGCTTTCTCAAAATCCAAAATAATTTTGGATTCCTCCTGAACACCAATAAGACACCTAGTTTACTAGAACGAATAATGAAACAATACTCTTTCGTTTACAATTGACATGGATTCTACTAGATATTTATCCAGTGGCTAATTTACTACAGGTCAAGTCAATTCACATCAATAACATGTTATCAGCCTGAACAGCATGTATATTATTATAAAAAATGCGGATGATGGGAAAAATATCTATTACAAGTCCGGCTGGCTAACCATCTACCTGGAAAGTTGATCAATCACCGTTATGTTTTACTAAACAACGAAATTCTAGTGGGACGTTTGTAATAAGTGGATGCAATCAAGTCAAAAGTGAAACAGCAACTCCCCAGTGACATTGAATGACGTCCATTCTATACAACAACTTCACAAGAGTTGAGGATCTAGACTAATCGATTTTAACAGGGTAGTTTGAAGGTAATTTGGTCGCAGTAAAACCCGAATGTTATCGATTCGACTACTTTCTAGATCCTAGTTTTAGGATATTGAGTAATCCATAAGTCAAACAAAAAAGCTGCCCAGGCCCCCTTTGTTCTCAATGATTCCTCGTCTTATGTCAGTTTGCGACATAACGGATCTGAAAACGTGATTTTTGAAACTAAAATTCAGGCATGTGTTGCTCAGATCTGAGGTTCAATTAATATCATTCTCAATACAGTCGGTGTGTAATAAAGTGAAAAATGATACGCTTATATGATAAAAAGTAATTTCAAAAATACTTACGAGCAACAGATTGTAATCCCATCACAACAAAATGTGGTTTTCTTTCTTTAGTTCCGTAAACTTCGCATAGGACAAGAATTATCATTAATAGTCCAGCTAAATTACATATCAGACTTATGATTGATAATATCTGAACAAGATAGAACCATGCTAAAATAAAATAAAATGTAAGAGTTGAATGAAGTCGGTTAAATAATTTATTGCATAACTTTTTAAGCTGGATCTAAGGTCTTTTGCAAGGAATTATGTAAAACAGTTAGATAACCAAGTAGACTGGTGGCCACATTGCAACATGGTGGATAGCATTAGATCTGCACTAATAAGGACTTGACACACATGACATTGATCACCACCCAGTGATTAATCAATTGCGATTACAGGTATTATTTTATAACTTTACTTTAGAATAATATTCAATTCAACACTGCTTAGCATACAAAAAATGCTTATAAATTATTTTTACAAGAGGCTAGTTACAAATTGCATAGAACCCAATTCCAAAATAAAATGACTTACGTTTTGGCCCCAAAGATTAGATGTGTTAGAATGAAGATCACTTACGTGAAAAATGCGTACCAACAACTGCTTGTACTCTTAATTACGAGTATCATTTAACTCTTCAGACAACAAAAGCAAAGTGACGCTCAGTTCCCTATAACCAATTAAAAAAACAAGTCTAATTCCAGTTTCTACATTTCCCCAATCAGTTATTCGGTATAACAGCCATATCACTAGGCCTTATTAACTAAAAATGCAGGTAATACAAACATATTTGATAATATTGTTTCTTGTACTGCCCGCGAATGCCCTGGTAAGGCCGAGGGTAGAGAGAGTCCGCTCTACCTCTCTAAATGTTCTCACGTGACCACGCACTACAGCTACTGCCAGGAAAGTTCTACTCACTATCTTCCAGCGGGGTGTTGTTTACGAAATTTAGAGGACGAAAAGCGAATGTCCGGTATTTTAAACAAATTGGTGAACACGGAGGGTCTACCTGGAGGAGTCGGAAACCCCTGATTCCAAACCAATCGTGCACATGGATGACAGGATTCTGAGGAAACAAATGGCGTATGAACCAATTGTTGGTCACCGGCTACCGTGGGACTGAATCCCCTTACGTTGGTCCAATGCCTTATTGATCAGACCTTTAGGTCGAAGGCTCCGGGTGTGGCCTCCTAAGGAAACCACCTGCTTTAGTCTGGGCATCCGAGAAGTATCACAGCCCACCCACAAATCAAGTGACTTGTGTGGTGCATATGTATTCAGTGCCCTTTTGTTTCAATATTTATGTGCCCAAATAAATAAATAGATAATAAATAGTTTGGAAGTATAAATTACATGAAGCAGGGTTACACAAATCTAATCACTAAACAATAAGGTCTCAAATTTTAAACATAACAATGCCATTTCTGCTTAACATACGCTCAAACTTAAGGCTGCTGAAAACTTAAGGAACATTAGTCGAGTACCGATTAAAACATTCAAATTTATCACACTCTAAATAAGGAAAATTAAAATGACTAGTTTAGAAAACTTCTGGTTAGGTACTTTAGAAGCAAGATTTTTAATTAGGCCTGTGAGTTAACTTAGTTGTACAGATAATCAGGAAACCTTAATATGTAAATGAATTTTGTACGGCTTATCATTGTTTAGACTTTTTCAAACATATACGTCAGTCACTACTGTTTGCAAGAGTTTGCTTGAATTTTAATGTTGCGTTCACCGCACAAATACATTTTGCTGTTCGGTATTCTGTTGCCTTTTTACAATAAAACTAATGTAAATCTGGTGCTCCTTTTGAGTAAAAACGTGGGATCGTTATACTTGGAATTACCCTTCGGAAATAAAAATCCGTGAAATAAACACTTTCAATATTAAACGTCTCAAAACATGCACGCTTTCTAGACTTTTTCATCAAAAGTTACGTACCACTTGTCATGCAATGTTTAAATAATAAAAAACTTGAAATTTAAGGTCCAAATATATACATGGAAGCACTCACGTGGATTTAACCAGAATCTGATATACTTGTATTCTGGATAATATATATACCAACATCCTTGATAAGCTTTGGATACATAGTCTTCTGGGAAGATAAACTCGTCAAAGCAAACTTCCCATAATCCAAGTCTTTGAAAACCAAGATTTGACTCTGATTTCGAAACAATCCAGAAAGGTGAAACAAATCCAATAATATTGAAAATAGCAGCAAGAAAGGAAAAAGTAACAGCCATTGAAAATGAGATATGTTTACGCCTGATAGTACCTAGCTTCATGTTTCCGGATTTCTCAGTTTTGAAAAGTTGCGTTAAGACTACGCAACTAATGACATCTAAACGATAAAGTTAAACAAAATTCTAGAAATAAACGACAATTTTTGAAGATCCTAAATGGCGACATATTGATATGCATATTCAGTTCTAATGTTCTGTCTCTGAAGGGTTGACAACCATTTCTTGACAGTCATTTCTTAGTATTCTATACCTCGAAATCAGACCACCTCTTAATCTGCTGTAGGACAGAATAAAGTGGTCTAGCTTTGCAAGCTGCTCTTTATATGGTAAACCCGGAGTTCTGGAGTTGCACGGTTATCTGCCCTCTATACTTTTCCCAGAATATCTGAGCCACTTTTTGAACAGGGGCTTGCAGCCTGAGCACTTTCCATGTTTAGTTCACACGAAGGTTCTGTATACTGTAGTAAACATAATATCAAACTTAGCCCACAGAGTTCTAAACTACTAGGCTGCAACTTGACGGTAGTTGGTTAGGGTCCTAAGATCATGACTCAATGTCATTCTAAGATCCTTGTGAGACCGAACTACTGGTACAGGCACTCCCTGTACGCTGTACATATTTGCCTTCGTGTCCCCACAGGGCATGTAGACACACTTGGCCGCGTTGATAAGCATCAGCCAATTTTTAAACAAGCTAACCAGAATACCTAAGTATGCGCATGCATCTGCGTCTCCTGTCATTTTTTGTCCGGCTTTCATATCATCAGCGTATATAAGCATTGAGGACTCAGCTACTCATATACATACAGCAGAAAAAGCAAAGTACCTAGGACGCAGCCTTGAGGTACTCCACAAAGTGCTGGTCTCAAGAGGAAGCACTTAGAATGTTCTCTTGCTTTCTGCCTACGACCTATCAGGAAATTCTTGAGCCATTTTTGGAAAGGTCCGGCCATACCGGGATTTTCCAGCTTCAAGGGCAGTTTACTTTTTGGCACCATATCAAATGCTTTGTTGAAGTCTATGTGGGCAACACCCACTGATTTCCCATTACCTAGAGTGTTTATCCATTTCTCTCATGCTATAACGAGATTTGTTGTGCAAGATAAACCTTACCTGAAACGATGTTGTTCACTGGTTAATAAGTTGTTGCTTTCCACGAATGTCATTATGGTCTTTTTGATCATTCTTTCCAGTATTTTAACTACGACACTGGCGAGACTGACAGGTCTGTAGATTGATGACAGTTGGTTTGATCCTGTTTTATGTATTTGAGTGATAATTGTATCCTTTCAGTCTATAGGAAACTTACCTTGGCCAAGTGACATTGAGTGTCGTAGTCAATGGGGCAGCAATATACTGTGCAGAGTCTTCCAAATGAAAACTGTCCCGAAATAGTTTACCATATCCTCTGCTTTTTCTCGACCATCCTCTGTTATTTGAGATACACCTCCTTCCGTAGTTAGGTTAGGAGTCCAATGCTGCGTCCTTTTTCTGTAATTTATATACGAGGATAGTCTCTTATTCTGCTTGATTACAGATAATGCTAACTGAATTTCATATTTTCTCTGAACTCCCCCGATTGTAATTGTACACCTGGCTGTTACGGACTTGTTCAGTTCCGTCGTACTTGCTGTCCCAAGGCTAAAGGCGACGTTCCAACATTTCTCCTTTTGTCTTAGTTAACGTCGAATCTCTCAGTCTGTCCGGTTTTCAGCCGATGCTGAAGAGATAATCGTATTCGTTTCTGCCTTTCATATGTTAGGATGGATCATCACAACTGTTTGACAGGCGATCTCAGCCATGAACTTGAATAAGATGACTACATTATCACTGCTTCCTAGGGGTTTGAGGGAAGTCATTTGACCGACATCATCAACGTGTATGAAGACTGAGTTCAAAAGAGGTAAGGAGATTCATAAGTCGTATCTAGTGGGATCTCTTATTTGCTTAAATAAAGCTAGGGTAATTGTGGCTCCTAACAACTTACAACCAAACAGCGTTATTATTGATCACCGGAGAACAGACTTTGATTGATGAGACTTGAGGCACTTATATGATGGATACCAACGATAAACTATCCCTGACGCTAAATAGTTGGCTGTTATTGAGGGATTGCGACGGATAGTCGAAGAAGGTAACATCAGGGATAAGTATGACAAAGGTTGGAAACAGTTTAATTATCTGACCAATGTGTGCTGAAAAAGGTGGTTAAGAGAATATTTACCTTACCTAAAAACGCGTTAAAAATCATCAGTTGAACATTGCGATTTTCAGGAGGGAGATGCAGTCATCGTGGCTTCGGACATTTAGACCCGTGAAAAGTAGCCCTTAGAAGTAGTTGAAGGCAGTGAAACAGACAACGACGGAAAGGTTGGTGTGGTAACTGATCATACGGATTGGTTAGAAGGGATGTACGTAAAGTATGTCTCCATGAATGTTCGAATTAGTTCCTTGTTATAGCAACGTGGGCAGGTAGAGTAGGCGTACTGTTTTAACTCCTACTCGCTTCTCTATTACAGACTAAGTTATAGAAAGAACCATGGACAAAGGAATTGAAGAAGCTTTGTGTTGTATGGAGGGATTTTTCAGGCCGGTGTAAGATTCATTTTCAAGGTGTTGTGTGTGAAAATTCCTCCATGTATACACTTGCAGTTTGTTCCTATTGATTACTTTGGTTGTACACTTTGTTAGTCTTCTTGATTCCGTTTGTATTTGTATCTTATTATAGTCTTTATTTTTCCTACATCTTCACTGAGTTTCTATTTTTCTTCCTGAACTGCATTTATGTTGTTTTAATTGATACTTAATCTTGGCGGCAGCCATATTGATTTGTTCCCCTTTTGATTGTGCTGCTTGCATTAACTGGAATTGTGCATTTTCGATTGTGAATTAAGGCACTCTTCCCAAATTGGAAAAACTTAGTGTCATAAAGCAGCCAAATATTATCTTTCGAATGAATTTGTATGTAATCTATCCAGAAAGGATAGAATAACGTTTGTTTGTTGAGCTTGGTAATTTTCTTACATCGTTTATCAAATCGTTCATTTATCGTAAATAAGATTGATTTGCAGATTGAACAAATGTTTGCTGAACAACTGGGTGGTAATATTTATTTAGATAATAATATATATTTATATTTATAATGAAATCTAGAACCGCCATTTACCCAATTACATTGTTTTGGTTTTAACTGGGCAGTAGCGCGTATCTAAACCATTTAGACAGTTACTCTTCAGTTCAAACCTTAGTTTGAATTGTACAGTAGTGTAGACCGAATAGAAACCAGGTTAAGCATGTAGCGGTGCAACTAAATACAGGGTTCTTGGAACCGTTGACTTTCTTTCATTCGGTTGATTCAATATAAATCCAAGAGTTCAGATAATTATGTGGCTGGATGAATCATCTAAAACGACCTTTGGATTGCAGAAAATTTGTAGCCTAGACTCATTGTCAGTTTCTGGAGTACTGTCTTCGTTGCTACCCAATGGAACTTGAAAATTAGAAATTAGGCTGGCAGTGCTAGGGAGAAAATATATTATGAGGTGGTCTGTAGAATTATGGTCTACTATGATATTAGTACTGCTCTTATGATAGACCTAATTCTAAAATTGCAGACTTGTCATGATATAACTAATCTATAAGATCTTGCGTGGAAGTCACATCGTCGTCCACACCAACTCATTGCATCGTAACAATCACCAATATATGATGGAGAACAAGCTTAGGCTAGAGGTAGAACAATATATTTAGTACGAATAAAAGGTATAAGATAGCATTCAACAGGGAACACGCCTGAAAAACTGAGCCATGCCATCCGATCAACTGGAATTAGTTCAACTCATTTTTCCCGCCTTGTCCTCGTTGGATTTTACTCCGTGTCAAATGTTGAATATCCATCTTCACAGCTGTCTCGTGTTCAGCTTTGAGGATTGTGTAGTTAGGGCCCAATGCCACTGAAAATCCACAGATTGGAATGAAGTGAAATGTTGAGTGAAGAAACAATATGAAGAATTACACCCAGATAAAAATTTTGTCCCTGCTCACAATGGTAGCCTATGTGTACTTGTAGTGGCATTGGGCCCTAACTACACAATCCTCAATGCTCAACATGCGACAGTTGGGAAAAAAGATATTCAACATTTAACACGGAGTAAAATCCAACGATGACAAGGCGGGAAAAATGAGTTGAACTAATTCCAGTTGATCGGATGGCATGGCTCAGTTTTTCAGGCGTGTTCCCTGTTGAATGCTATCTTATACCTTTTATTCGTACTAAATATATTGTTTTACCTCTAGCCTAAGCTTGTTCTCCATCATATATTGGTGATTATTACGATACGAATGCGTCAGTGTAGGTAATGATGTGACATCCACGATTAGGTCTATTATTAGAGCAGTACTAATATCATAGTAAACCATAATTCTACATACTTACATCAATTTTGCTAGTGCTTGATGTCTTGAGAAGTTTATCTCACTGAAGCATGTAAGTGTTACTAAAGCTCGTCAGTGAAAAACCGTGGCTAATAATTAATGTAGATGACCTGTTATTAGTATCGATTGAGTTAATAAGTTGTGAGTAATAATCAAAACTACAATACGATAATATACGTGAGCATTAATCAGATGACTAATAGACAAATGGGTTAACATAAGTAAAAATCGATCGAGAACGCCAAAGTGAAAATAAGGATTAATAATAGGCTGCATTTCTCTAGTCGGGTTTACCAATGCAGAATTATGGTCTACTTCGTAATAAGTACTACTATAATAATGGGCCTTATTCTAAATGTATAGACATGTCATAATGCGACTGCCTAATCTATAAGACCTTACACAGAAGTCACATAATTATATACACTGACTCATCGTATCGAGACAATTAACAACATGTTAGTCAGTACTTCTAAAGACCACATTTACGCTGAAGATAAAATAATAAATCTGATGTGAATAAAGACAAGTTATGCAGAATGATCAAGTCTGTGAGGTTGAGCCATGCCATCCGATTGAATTCAGTTAATTCTTCCCCCTTCTCCATTGTTGACCCCTTCGTATTAATTGTTGAAAAAGCATTTTACCAGTCATCTCATGTTCGGCTTTGAGAATTGTGTGATTAGGACGAATACCATTACATATCCATCATTGTCTTGAGCTCCGCCACTTAATTTTGTAGCCCTCAAGCATTTGTGTAGCACAGCTTTAATTCTATAGAGAACTATTCCTTGCCACCCAAAGTCGTTTCGGCGACGCATATTTATTTGTACTTCTTCCGATTGTTTCTTAATACGATCAACCAAGCTGAGATTTTCATGCACGTATATGTACTAGTTTTACAGTGTTAGGTTTCCTTCTTCAGCAGAAGCTAAGGTAACATTTAAGAAGCGGCTTTCATGAGTACCTTCAAAATCCGAATTTTGTCCGATTATATAAAGATTACAGGTGTTGATTCTTAAAACTATTTTCAGTAGTAGCCTGCTTATTAAGGACCTAGTGTGACTGAGGTCGTGTTGAAACTCAGCCTTTGGTTCCTTTTCGAGAGGCTCCCATGACTGATGAAAAATGGCTGGTTATCAGAAAGGTCCGTCCTAACAAGCTGCTAGGTTTTATTTCCTAAGATATTCCCATCCCTGCATCAAACGCAGAGGTCTCACTTTGTTTTCCTAATTTTCGATTTCTGGGTGAACAATAAGTCGTTCATTTACCTTATAATGTCTCTTGATCAGATCATTTACACCGCTCAGGCTTTGCTCCCCTATAGTCTGTTTTGCTTTGATATTTGAATCCGTAACTGAAACCATTTACTCATATATCTTAGTGCTGCCTATATTTTTTCTCTTCTCAGCATGCCTTTTGTTTTTCCTTGTACCAATGCCTACATCTGCTTGTCATCCGCTTCACTAATGGGGACGACATGAACTAGGAGGAAGGAACGAGAATGGCAATGGATTTGTAAATCTGTGTGCATTCAACAAATTAGTCATAGGCGGCACAATATTTCCACACAAACGTATACACAAAGCTACATGGATCTCACCGGACCACACCACAAAGAATTAGATAAATCATATTTGCATCAATAAAAAGTTCCGAAGGACAATGGAAGATGTGAGAACCAGAAGAGGAGCGGACATAGCTTCAGATCACCACCTGGTTGTGGCCAATCTATAACTGAAGCTAAAGAAGAACTGGACAACTGGACAAACAGCACCACAAAGGTTCAATACAGCCTTCCTTCGAGATACTGACAAACTCAATGAATTTAAGATAGCTCTCAACAACAGATTCCAAGCCCTACATGATCTACTGAAGCGGGAAACTACCATGAAGGATAACTGGAAAGGTATCAAAGAAGCATTAACTTCAACGTGTCAAGAGGTTCTAGGCCCCAAGAAGCATCATCACAATGAATGGATCTCTATGGAAACACATAGAAGCAAACAAGCAAGTAAAGAAGAGCATTGGAGCCGACAAGCATAAATACGTGAAAGAACTAACAACAACGGCGGAGAAAGCTGCAAGAAAAGGAAATATGAAACAGCTTTATGATACAACGAAGAAGGTAGCAGGGAAATATAGTAAAGCAGAGAGACCGGTCAAAGACAAAGAAGGAAGACCAAACACTGATATTCGGCAACAGCGGAACAGATGGGCAGAGTACTTCGAGGAACTCCTGAATAGACCGGCTCCGATGAATCCACCGGACATCGAAGCAGCACTCACAGATCTTCCTATAGATGTTAATCCACCAACGACTGGATAAATTAGAATGGCCATCAGACAAATCAAGAGCGAGAAAGTAGTAGGACCCGACAATATACCAGCTGAAGCACTGAAGTCAGACATCGAAGTAACTACAAGCATGCTTCATCTTCTATTCAGGAAGATTTGGGAGGAGGAACAAGTGCCGATGGACTGGAAGGAAGGACACCTCATCAAGATTCCAAAGAAAGGAGATCTGAGTAAGTGTGAAAACCACAGAGGCATTACACTACTGTCAGTACCAAGAAAAGTCTTTAACAGAGCATTACTGAACAGGATGAAAGACGCAGTAGACGCTTAACTTCGAGATCAACAATCTGAATTCCGTAAGGACCGGTCGTGCAATCAACTGGATATAACTAGGTACTATTGTAGTAGATATCGAGGACATACCTTATGGAGAATCATTTTAGATCCCTTTTTTAAATGAAAGGTACTACTAATAAACTCAAAAGGTTTACGAGCTTCAGGGATTTAAGATAAGGATTGTTCTTCGAATGAATGATTTTAGAGTACCTCTCTCCTAATTCATAAATGTTACTTTATTGTTTAAATTTTACTCTTCTTAGATGTGTGCATGGACCCTCAATTTTGAGTACTAAGAGAGAGAAGCGATTAATTACACCAGCCTTGGAGTCTACTCAGATTGTAGCGGTAAAGAAATCCGTAAAATCAGTAGCTCTGTACACTTTCGACATTTGATGCCGACCATATTAGTTTTAATGGACTCATCTGGCTGAAGGCGCTCGGTCACGCATCCGCACCAGATCACGAGCGGGTACGCTGCGCTCAACTTCTACAACCACTAGCCAGAATATATCAGTCACTCCTCGACATATCGATAGTCCATCAAATATATCTTCGAAACTATTTGCTTCTGACCTCTGGTCTCACTGGGTTGGCACGTTTTGATTCTAGATGTTACTGGTCAAAACGTTGTCAAACTCCAAATGCTTATGGCATCTTTAAGATCGTTCTAAATTTTATAACTAATCTGAACACTGAGTTTAAATGGATTGTATATACTACACTAGCGATCAAACTTCTAGTGTTCGTTCCGAACTTAGAGTTAATAAACCAAAGTTTATTTGTGTGGACAGAACTACTTACCTTTTTATAGCGTACGAGGCTTTCTTGAGTCACTCTTATCAAGTTACACCAAACACAAACTCCGTGCTCAATTAATCCGTTTTTAACTTAGGAATCAAAACAAATTATATCACAATACAAAATATCTCAAACGGTACAGCCTGTGCTATACAATCAAAGTTTGTTTATCACAAAATAGTGTGCTAAATAGCGGAGGAAACAATAAATGATTAGGTATTTGGGTTTTGGTGGACCAAATATGTCCATTCTAAAATTAGGACAAATTTTTTAAAAAGTGAAAGGTTAGTTAGTTAATATGACGAAATGTAAATTATGCACAAAGGAATATATGCACTGTTACTTACATTTTATAAAGGAGGCGTATTTGAGCTGCAGTTTTGTGATCCATAATAAGTAGTCAGTGATTCCAAATATGGTTGATAAAATCCAGGATGTGTATCTAAAGTAATCGCGTAACGAGAATATCAGCGCGATCTATGGACATAGACATCAAATATATCAGAGTTATGTTATCGGAACAGATGATAAGTAAGAACAAGAAGTATGTGTGCGCAGAAGTGTATTTATGGGTGACAACCGATGTGTCATTCCACGAGAGAGCAAAATGGGAACGAAAAACTAAAATCAAAGTGTCTTCAAAAAAAACTTTTACAGTCAGTAGTAGCAACCCAACAGTTTCTGGGAAATAATGAAAAATTGGAACAACAGCAAATAATGATATCAGTATAAGTTCATGTCAACTATCTCGACAGGGACTCGGGAATTAACAAGGCCACTCTGAACAAAGTGGGATCAAATATCTATCTGAAAATACTCGACTCGCCGTTTCTAGGAAGCAGACTAAGGTCAACAGCCACCAACCGAACCACGCTGTAACCTTAAGTCCAGTCAAACATTACCTTATTTTCAATGTGCCGGCAACGTGCTATGATAAAATTAAATTAAAAATGCAAATCTTGGTCACGGCCAAATAATAGAAACCCGAACAAATAAGATTGATAAACAAAAGATGTTTTTACTAATTTATTGAATTTTGAGACCCACTAATTCTTCTTGACCTTGGTGTATAAACAATTTGTGTCTGTTGAAGCCGGGCTTCATTTATTTCTAAATAATCCTGTGTAAGTGCTAACCTTATGTTTCTTTGTACAGTTGGCTTTCAAAGTAGTCAGTTCTTTAGAGACTTGTTCTTAATCGAGTTCATTCATATTCAACGCCTTTCTTACGAACTTATATTCACTGTTTGTTTGCTTTGTCCCCGCATGTTGTTTTATGCGGTCCTACGTCTCTTATAATATCAGTAGGGGTAGTATATCCATTTGACTGCTCTTATTCTAGTTAGTTTGGTAGTTATTTGTGGATTAGTTTGTCTTGTGGGAGGATGAGTCCATATCCCAATCTTATTTTGGGAAAAATTTTTTTATCCGTTTTGGGTAAACCGTTATAAAAAATTCCGGGAAAATATTGGGGATTTCCCCAAAATTTGGGGAAAACCCGGAAATCGAGAGATTGGGTGTCTCAATGCAGTAGGACTTCTGGATATCAACACCTATTACATTGCCAGGAGTAAGTTTGGTTGGTTGCAATGTGGGAAATAATATGGAAAAAATTCTATCGCTAATAGAAAACGACTGTTTCATGAAATAATAAACAAATATGTTAGTTGGTGATGCCGACAGCGTCAGTAGACCGAATTGTATGAATAAGGGGGAAACGGAGATAACAATAAAAGAGATAGGAAGTATTAACTGTTATGTGACAATGATAACAGTAGGTAAATTATGGAACATGCATCGGACAGCTGGTTCATCAGGTAAATGGTAATCCATGGGTGAGTATGTGTTTGTCATGTTTCTTTTTGAAGCTATCCACCGAGAGGGTTGTGGTCACTTCGGCCGGGAGAGCATTTCAAATGGGGGCAACTCTTAGTAAGTAAAAGTGAGTTTACTTGGGTATTCACTTCTTAATGTGTGGTCTTCTGAGGTTTGCCTTGACGAGCGTGGTGATCCAATAATATACTCGTGTTGGGATGGTTTGGCGTACTTAGTGTTATATGTCATCAGATCACTTATTCTCCTGTAGCTCAGCGAAGATAATCTCAGGTTTTGAAGCCTCTTCTTGCAGTATTTATGTTTTAGACACATCATCCACTTGATTGCCTGTTTCTGTACTTGGTCTAGGAGATTTATGTCTCTTGAAGAGAGGGGGCACAATGAAATTATGGATTTCAGGGCTGAGCCGTGCCTACATTTTGAACATTGTTACGAACAACTTTGGAGTGACTACCCGAGGTTACCTTCGCATAAAGTGAAAAGTTGCGTTTGTCTTGGCTTCATCCCTCATGTGGTTTGAGCTGGTGTCTAGGCTGTCTGTGGTTACTAGTCCAGAGTCATGCTCTAAGGAGACGATCGGAAGATGATTTCCATGGGAGTGTAGGTTCTTCGTATCAAATGAGGCAGGATGTTCATGATATAAAGTTTCGAAAGCAATACTAAAATGGTCCTAAACAAATTCAACTACTTTCTAGTGTCAGAAGAGGGTCATAGATTAGTGAAGAATTAGGGTTAAGATTTGGAGTGGGAATTCAGGGTTAGGGATTAGAGTTGGAGTTTTCATCACAAACTACCATTTGTTCTCACTTATGAATAAATTTTGCGACACTGTCTTAGACTTTCTATCCATAAATTATAGTCTTAACAAAATTTACAGTTTTACGAAAATAACAGTGGGTGTATGTAGTTTATTCATTTTCGTGATGCTTTTGCAAGACTTGAATCAGTTATTATATTTTACGGTTTTGCCACTCGCTTTAGGAAGACATAACTCAGTCAGTCAGTTAGCAACAATGTGGAACTTCGTACGTACGTACATCAGTTTGAGTTGCCATGCCACATTAGCACAGAGATTCAGTTATCGATTCGAATCTCGTTGTAGAGGTAGTGAAAGTATAAGTAGTGATAAGGAACATTAGGGTTTGAAGATGTTATTTAAGGAGTATAATACAGTGGAATGAATTCGGAAAGAGAAAAGAGAAAGGGATATGAAAAATTCAGAAGATTAGGATTTTGGAGAACACAAAGAGTGGATGTACCTGCGTCATTGCAAACGATTTTGAGCCATGTCATTCAAGGTCACTAACCATCGGTTGCTATCATTTCGCGGTCCCCAACCAGGTAGTCTACACCTACCAACATAGCTCAGTCCACTTGTCAGTGACTTCATGGATTTGTGCCATGTTTTGGTCTGGCCATAAAACATCGCACGTCGAGGAAGTCGGTGGTCGGGCATGCGTAACACATGTCCCAACCATCTCAGCTGATGAAGTTTCACTACTTCATCAATTGACTTTCCATCCTTACCTAGTACCGGTTTCCTGACAACTGAGTTACTTACTCGGTGGTCCCACGATATACGACCAATGTTTTGAAGAAATCTATGATCAAATACTAGTAACATACGAATATCCTCTACTCTTACTGGTCATATTTCACTGCCGTAAAGTAGGACGGAATGGACCGCTGCGCAGTAAGCACGTTTTTTGGTCGGTAGATGGATATCTCGTCTACGCCATAAATGACGCAAGTTGGCAAAAGCTAGTCGAGCCTTCTGTATCCGTGCTGAGATTTCGTCACACACCAGATCACAAGGGCTGATGAGACTCCCAAGATAAGTGAAGCGGTCGATACACTCAACTACTTCACTCCCTATCACTAGTTCGGGTGTCGATGCAACCCAATCCTGAAGCAACATTTTGCATTTCGAGAGAGAGAATCTCATGCCAAACATGCCTGAATTGTTGCTTAGAGTGGTCAGCAGACTCTGCATTTTGTCAGCGTCTTCACCGAATAGAGCTATGTCATCGGCATACTCTAAGTCAACAAGTGAATCTTTCGGTAGAAGTCCAACCCCTGGAAAGTCAGATGTGGAAAGTGTTATTTCTAAAAGCACGTCAACGACAAAGTTAAACAAGAATGGAGAGAGTGGACAGCCCTGAAGAACACCACTTGAGGTAATCAATTCTGATGACAGTTCGCCATAAGGTCTCACTCGACCAGTTGTGTTCGAGTAGAGAGCCTTTATAAGGTTAATGTAGTTCTTTGGTACTCCTTTCAGTGACCAACACTGCCATAGAACCTCACGATCAACAGTCAGATGCCGCCTTAAGGTCGAGAAATACTACCATTGTGGGGCGTCTGTATGTGTGTCTATATTCTAGGACCTGACGTTGTGTGAATATTTGGTCTATACATCCACGTCTAGGTCGAAATCCAGCCTGGTTTTCTCTAGTCTGCTCTTAACGAGCTTTGGTTAGACGTCGAAGTATTATTGAAGCTAATATTTTAGAAACAATATTAGTCAAACTAGTTCCTCTATGATTGTCACAAGAAGACTTTCGTCCTGTTTCTACAGCTTTTCGGATGTCATTCCACGCTGCCTCGGGGTGGGCATCACTTACATGGCTGCCTAACTGTTTTTTTATTTGTTCCTGAAACATTTATTTATTATTATTTATTTTAACACATAGGTATTGGTACAAGGAGGCACCAAATGCATATGCGCCACACGAATCTCAGTTGATTTGTGTGAGGGCTGTGATACTGCCCGGGTGCCCAAACCGAGGCAGGTGGTTTTCTTAGGGGGCCACACCCCGAGCCTTTGACCCCGAGGTCTGACCCACAAGGCAGTGGAGCATCGTAAGGAGATGCAGCCCCATGGTAGCTAGCCGGTGACCAACGATTGTTTCATACGCCATTTGTTCCTTCAGGATACTGGAGCCCATGTGCACCATTGGTTTGGGATCCGGTTATAGCGCCGGACATTCGCTTTTCGTCCTCTCATTTTCGTAAACAACACCCCGCTGGTGGGAAGGCAGTGAGTAGGACTTCCCTGACAGAGGCTATATACGCGTGGCGATGTGAGAGCATTTCGAGGAGAACGGACTCTCCTCACTCTCGGCATTACCAGGGCATTTGGGGGCGTTCCTGAAATATACTCTTAGCTTGACTATCATTAAGTAGGACCCTAAGGGGTTTCCTTGCACCATCTTTCCTACGTCCAGTAAGACGTAGACAAATACGCGCTCACACTTGAGCATGATCTGAGTCTAAGCATGCGCTCCAGAATGAGCGACAGTCTTCTATCGAGGCTACTAGCGATGTGATCTATTTGGGTCCAACGTTGGGACGAATTAGGGGGTCGCCATGTCAAAAGATGTTTTTCCTTATGCTTAAAGTTAGTGTTTGCAAGGGACAGGCGGTTATCTGAGTATAGCTGCAACAGACGGTCGCCATTATCTGTTCTTTGAGCCGCGACACCATAAGATCCACCCAGGTGTCTTTCCCTTTCGTTTGTTTACCTACTTGAGCATTAAGGTCACCAGCCACTATTACTACGTCAGAGCGCCTAGCTTTTCGGAGAAGGTCGGAAAGTTTTCTGTAAAACTCATCTTTTACATTATCTGAGCTGCATTTAGTGGGAGAGTGGGCAGAGACGACAAAGAGGCAACGACGATTGTCCCTATCTTTCCGAGTCCTTACTGTTCCGTTTAGTCAGACAGCGCACAAACAACTGTCTACTGAGATCCAGTCTAAGAGAGCTAGTTCTGCCCTAGGACTAAATGCTATACCTACGCCAGCGAGGCCACAGGAAGCAGCATCAGGGCTTCTAGACACACGAAGCGTGAATCGAGATGGTTCTTCGTTTCGATATGGTGAGGTCAAATGAATGACGCTTCTCGGATCCTGTATGCGCGTTTCGGAGACGCAGCACACATCGATGGAGCGAGATCCCAAAGTCCTAACTAAGGAAGCCTGTTGTCTTATTTGGCACAGTGTTCGGACGTTGAAAGCTCCTACGTGTAGTTTAGAGCGTGGTTTCAGATCAGGAATAACGTTCCGCGTACTCGAATCGTTTGCACTAGCGGGGCGAGGTGATAAAGGGACGTGAGAAGGGTTAGTCGTGGAGATAAGAGAGTTATTAGGAGGTGAAGGAAGGATTTGAATGTGACCAACTTGGTCTCGTGTGCTGTTACGGGTATGAGGGCTGATATCACTTCCCGGTTGCCCACATCGTGGAAGGGTATTTTTTGAGGGACCTGAAAAGGAAATCGGATTAGTGTTGGTCTTAACGAACTGGGTGCGTGACCGCAGAGCCCAAGGGACAACTGCTTGAGGCCGGTCGCGCACGGCCTTTTTGTGGGAGGTTTTTAATGTGTTAGCTCCGTTCTTCAAAGGACCTTACCGCCGGAGACGGAAATCCGTGGGGTAAGGTGAGGTGTGACATTTTTAGGGTCGACCTTTTCTAACCCCTTCCTTCCTTGTGAGAAGGCAGCATTGCTGCAGATGCTGGTTGTCCGAGGGAAACACTTTACTGCTGTCACACCTCTGTATAGTCAGCAGTACGACTTTGCCCTCAAACCTTGAGTTGCTGCTTTTAGTCTCACCGTTCTCCAATCGACCTGCCTGGCATGGTAGAACCTACAGGAACATATGTTCCAGCCAATACAACTCGGTTGGGTCATCATGATATGCAAGCCCGACCACCATGTCAAGGTAGCAGCTACGGTCGGGGAAGACATAACTGAGCACTCCTGAAATACTAAATACTCTTCACCATATCAGTTAGTTGGATAAGTAAGCGCTGATGTTCATCGTGTTCTTTTTTCAATAAAAGAGCGGAATAACACGAATTTATTTTATTTTCAGCTGCTTACAACCTGTGATATTAAAAAATCAGTTATAAAATGAGTCACTTTAAAGTAACTTCCAACTAAACTCTTCCATGTATTTTTAAACCCATCTTATGATTATGATTCGTAAATATCACAGTTTTTAAGCAACTGACGAGGATCAAACAAAATATAACAAATTCCTGTTATTCTGCTCAAATCCTTGTTCTTGCTCTCTTCAAGATGATAAAGGGAACTGTGTAGAAGATAAACTGATGAGTTGGTCTGGAGAAAGAATTCTCGACCTTGAGTATGCGGATGATGTCTTATTGTGCGATGATACCCAAGCCATGCAATCCGCACTTAATCGTTTGGCGATTAGTGTCCGTCGGTATGCTATATGCTTTGCATCGAAGTGCAAAGTACTTTGACAAAACTGATCCTGTACTCACCCTTGGTAGTGAGCAGATAAAAGCAGTCGGGAAGTTCGTGTATCTCGGTAGCTGCGTAAGTGCTGGTGGTGGCATGAGTGATGTGATCACGTATAGTGAGTCAGCGGCTTATACCAACCTGGGCCATCTTTGGCACCTTCGTGGTGTTAGTCTGACTGTAAAAGGTCGAATCTACAACGCGTCAGTGAGAGCAGTTTTACCCTATGCTTGTGAAATCTGGTCTCCGAGTTGAGGATGTTAGACGACTCTTTGTGTTTGATCATCGTTGTCTGCGAAGTATTACTCACACCTAGTGGCAACAGCATGTTTTGAAATAGGTGATTGGTGAACTTGTTATTGAAAGTGTGCTCATGTGATAAACATTTTGTCACCTGTACTAATTTGTTAATTGGTTGTAAACTGTGCATCTTTTTAATCTGATTAGTTCAAATCCAAGTAGCATTAACTGGTTTGATTGAATGTGAGAATTTGCAAGTTTACATTTGAATTTTATTTTGAGTAAATAATTCTGTCTGACTGTTCCATCCGAGCTTTGATAAAAGTTTCAACTTCTGAAAAAAGTAGACACTAATTCTATTTGACTGCCCTTCTATACTCCTGTCTGTGAATATATATCGGGATAAACTATTTTTGATCAAGTAGAAATGGAACCGAAGTCGTTAGGTTTCGTGACAAGAGAAAGACTATGCATGTCATTAAAAGTAAACTGAGAGAAACTGATAACTATTTTTAATAATTGATAGTAGTGATTACTGGACTTGAAAGCTGATCAAATGTTTAATGCACAAGTAGTAAACTGATTTTCATTTTAGCATTTCCATAAGTTAATTTAACACAGTTTGGTCTTGTAATAATCGTTACATATATGTAAACATATAAGTCATCGTGATAACATAATGAATATGGTATGTATTAATCACGTTAAACGAAAGGGATCGATGAATAAAGCAACTTTTATGCTTTCCCAAATTAATAATAATAATTTCTGATAAAGAAGCAAATAATATTTAATATCAGAAGGGTTTTTGTGGATATTATAGTAATTTCAATGGTTGAGATCATAAGTAATTTGAAGCTAAATCACCATGGAAAACCTGTGAGCACTGGACGGCCGTTTCGTCCCATTATGGGACTCTTTAACAGTGCTCATGCACAATCCCGCCTCACGACATCCGAACCTCAGGATCTATCAGTCTCGCGCGCCAGCGCTTAACCTCTAGACCACTGAGCCGGCCGGCATTAAACGATTTTAATGTCTAACATCAACCAAATAATATTTATAACTGTGATTTCGTCAAGTGATTCATAATAGAAAAGAGTTGCTGGATTTACCTGTGAAAACGGTTTCGTTAATAAATGCAAGTTTGTAATTGAGTTATATTGCAAATTCATTGAAAGTGAAAAATGTTTTCAACTGTATATTGTCCATTCTATATAGTTGAGCAGTATATAATTCTGACGAAAAAAAAAATACTTTTCTGTATATGTAGTAATTTAGATCAGTTATTGTGTTTGAGAAGTGAGTGGTAGATTTATTTTACTTAATGTCAATAGTAAATGTTTTGTGAGTATGCAGTCTGATTAAATCATTATCTAAATTTTTTGATGTCATTTGTTAATGACATCGTATACGTTATTTACTTAAAAAGTCTGGAATCATTTTTCCAATTATGGATTTCATTGGTTAAACATGTTAAAAGACATTGACAATATCGATGTTGTACATATTCGTAATATTTGGATACTTTATAATATTAAACCTGAAACAGATGCTAAACGTTGAAACAAATAACCGTTTGTTTTTGTTTTTTTGACAAACAATTGAAATGTTGTTCGTATTCATTATAAATTAGCAGGCATACATCTGACATCAAAAATTTTTTTATACCCATTATACTGCTGAATGCTAATAAAGTAAACTGTATCAATTGAAATTCAATTATACCAACGTTTAATTTCGATGTATTAAACTCTTATTAATCTCAAATTATTATATAGTTTAATCACTATGGTTTAATTGATTAGTGTAGTAGTACCCAGATTTTCATTCGCAAGCTTTACATGTCATAAAAAGCACTTCATACTAGCTATCTTTTCTCACCAGTGCTAGACTGACTAACCCTAAGCCATATTTTGTATTCGGTTAGCGATCCTCCTCAGTGGTGTCGTGGATATAAAATATAGCACAGAATGGGAGCCAGTTGTGATCTTGTCGTAGCTTTATCAATGCAGGCTTTCATAAACAACAAAATATATTTTGGAAATGAACGAGATCTATCTTGGTCATGTCCGTAATTTGACGTTGTTTTTTAACATTTTATTTTTAGTCATTTGCCCAAACTAAGGTAAATGGAGCAGGATTCAGTTAGGTGTTTACACTATTCGATGACCATGGAATAGTTAATGATTGCTCTGTCTACTGAATTATTGCTTCAAATCCCACTACCGTACATCAATGTAAATAAGATATTTTGTTTAATCTTTGGGTCATAAAGTGTTGCATGTCTTAATACTTGAAAATGTATTTCGTTATCATCTAGTAATGCAGAAAAATACAATGTTTGACAAGTTATGATGTAGTAGTTCTCATATGTGGTCCTCTCCTGCCTTAATGTTATAGTACATCTGAACCTTAAAATTTCATTCATAACCTTTCTTTCATCCACAACTACAGATTATATGCAGTCAAATCAACGGTCAACGTCAAGTAATCAACCTAATTTTCCACGCAAAAGAAACACACATGTTCAAGGGTTGAAATCCAGACTTCGATCAAATATTAATTCAATTTTGTCTAATTATGAAATGATATTATCACGATCCAAGGTACATTGTAAATCCCTGTGCTTATTTTTTCTGCCTGTAATTACAAAATTTTAGATTGACCCAAATGAGGTTACTAAAGGTCTTGGTCCATATGCTCAATGTGCTCAAGATACATTTGAATTTAGCGTAAGAGCAGCAAATATAGTAAGTTATATTGCGAAGTTTCCTTGTGATTATAGAGAGAATAGTTGTCTGAATGTTTTTTTAATGTTACTTCAAACTGGATTTCACTAACCCTTATTCATTAAATAATCAATGTGCCTTCTCTTCATTTGGATTTGTTCCTTACGTTAATATTTATTTCCAACTAGCGGACAAAGAACAACTAAAAGTTACTGATCAACTATCTCAAAAATTAAAAACCACATCTGCACCAAAATCGTAAGCGAAATCTTCATAACTTGAAGCAGATACTATACCATTAAACCAGTGGTTAGAAACTCAATAACCTACAGTTCCAACTTCAATCAATTTATTTTTGATTCAGTAAACATAGCGTTTTCATGTCTTTTTTTAAAGGCGGACTTTTAATAAATATTTGCTGATATATATAATACTTGCGAGTAACCATTAAGTTCTTATATTGCGTTCTAATATTGACTGCTTAAAACTAGTTATTCACATCAGTAAATTGTATTCAAGGATCATGTGGACAATTAGACAATTGATGTAGTTATCTATATGACTCAACCAATGTTTCAAGTTGTAAACCCACTCCAGCTACTTATATTTAAAAAAACACTGGGTGTTATTCCTAATCTTCACAGCAATTTTGTTCTAATTCGAGTACATGAACTTGTAGTTGGTTGCTTAGTTATACTAAATTTGATTCGCAACATGGACTGCAAGTTTTAAAATAATGATCAACTATTGTATATCACATAATTGAAATAGCATTTTTAGCGTAAAATAAATTTATTTTATTCTTGGTCTTTTCTCATTAGCTTTTAGTAGCCGTTGTATGATTCGGATCGTTATTGATGTGGATGAAATATGGACTCCGCATACATCGTATATACTCTGTCAATGAATACTGTTGATAACAACGTGGTTATAAAAAGTCAATACTAGTGTTTCAGATGTTTACATTTCATACGTTCACTTCACCTGACAGACGAAGGAATAAGCAATGGAGAAAGCAAACGTGCCTACTCGAAATACTACTCATTACAAGCGTCCACTCTTTATAGAAATGCTTTCATATAACCACGTGTATATAGACACTGTCAGTCAAGTCTTAATCTCTGCCTTCTCGTGGCGCGAGGGGGTTTACAAGCTTGAGTGGACAAAAAGCAAATATCCGACCTTTGAAATGGGTTAAGTGTCCACCTCGAGAAGCTGAAAAACCCTGATTCCAAACCAAAGGTGCACATGGGCTCCAGGACCATGAGGGAACAAAAAGAGTGTTAGCTTATTTTTGGTCACTTCCTACTATAGGACCATATCTGTCATTGTTTTACTACCTTGTGGACTAGACCTTTGGGTCAAAGGCTTTGGTAGTTGCCTGCTAAGAAAACCACCTACTTTCGTTTAGACACCGGGGGCGTATCCCAGCGACCACACAACTTTACTGGTCTGTGTGGTGCCTATACATTTTGCTTTCCCTTTGTACCAATGTTTATGTTTGAATTAATAATATTGAAAAGTTTTATTTTTATTGGTACAATAAAGCACCAGATATATATGTTCCACACTTCATCATTCGATTTCTGTAAGGGCTGTACAAAGCCTAGGATAAACGCATATTTAACGGTACTATGTACTACGAATTCTATAATATCTCTTGAAATAATGATAACCAATAAAATAGAGTGAATACATCTCGCTTTCTAAGTGTTGTTTCAACAGTTATCCAAAATTTTCGAGGGTGAATGTATATGATAATTCTTCAACTCATTATACAATCTTATCAGTTTAAATGAAATATTTCGAACATTATATTGTAATCGTTCGAAATTCGTTTTCAGAGTGATTATTATTATTATTATTATTAGTGGCTTTATTCAATATTCTATTTTTGGTACAATATAGAATTCTCAGCACAAAGTATTTCAACAAGTTTCCCTTTCTTATTTCTTGATCAGTTCCTTGCGATAAATATTGAGTGGTCGCCAGTAAGATGTTAGCAATTCAGTAATCGATATCTGATAAATGTATATCCTTTCCGATGCATATTGCCAGTAACCATGATGTCTCTGATTGAGCTCTTTTGTAACACGTACAACGAAATATCGTAAACTTTTTACAAACGCACCTGAATAGGTTATGAGACTAATAGGCATAATAATGTGTGAAAACAAACAAGAAAACAGATAACTTGTTGAAATATCCAGATGACAGGAACAGGTAGCCCAGATATTCAAGCAGGCCACCGAATACATTATCATTAGTTTAAGCATTGATTTAGGCCTTATGTAATACATTATCACAAGCATTTCTATTCTTTATATTTATAATAATAATTTTTATCTTTTAGGTACATGCTTGTGAAAATATCACTCGTCTAGTATCAGAAATTAAACAATTTCTAATATTAGGCGATTTTCGTTGGTTGGCACGAGTTACTTCATTAAATCAAGAAAAATTGTTTCTTCGAAAATTAGATTTAGATCGTGTTAATAATCGATTACGTGATAAACTTGTAGCTGAATTACATAATTTAGAACAAGAAACAAGTCCAGATTATCCTATTAATACTTTTCAAAAAATTATTTAACAATAAAAAAAAAACAAACAAAGAATACAAGTTAACTTTTATATTTTCACGTACATATCTATGTGAATTTTATTAATTATAAATATCCATTGAGTTATATTGATATTTCTTAACGTTGATAATTCCTTGATGAAAACTCTTCAGTCAGTCAATCAGCTGCAACGTAGAACCACGCACGTATATGCATCAGTCCAAGTTGCCATACTGCATTAGCACAACATAATGAACACCGGATTCATAGAAGTAGTTAATGGAGTGGTGGTAATATATAGAAGAAAGATTGTGTATAAGGAGATAGTACAGGAAGAAAGAATTAGTTCCTAGAAAGAAAGATTTGAAGTGATTTTAATCTCTTAGTTTAAAGGAAGACAGAGAGTGTATACACCGACTCTTAGTAAGTGAGAAATTTTCTATGCCTAATCAGCGATGTTCTCTCCCTTTAAATGAAAAAAAAATTTACTTCAAAGCTGGTCTAAATCAATGTTTGAACTAATGATAAAGAGTATATTAATTGGTCGCTCTGATGAATTGATATCTGACCGAATCATGGTGTAATTCCGAACTTGCATCTTAGTTATCCCAACATAAACATAAAAAACAAGGTGTTTTAATAAAACTGACTACGTGTAAGTAGTTGTGATAGGTTCTTATGTTTTTTCACATCATTAATATTGACAGATATTGTACGTCCGATAGTTTCAGGACAACGTTGTTCAAAAGCATTCAACTTTTCTTCAATATAATCCTAATTATGTATTATATTAATAGCCAAGTGTGATTTCATTATTTGTTTGGTGATTGACTAGGTATTGATATGACTAATCATAATATAAATGTTTAGAAAACATCATATATTACTAAGATTATCTCAATCCACTGATTACAGGTTTATGTACGTTTTCAACCCACACTCCAAATGTGAGGGCTGGTGATACTACTCAGTTACCCAGACCAAAGTAGGTGGAGCGGCTTTCGAACTTTTGAGTTAGTGACTAAAAATTGAACACCTTAAAAAAGTCACCGAAATACTAAAATCATGGAGAAAATCGATGCTAGTAACATTTTACGACTAAGTGTTAGTTTCTATATTCGGCTTTCAGGCACGCCTTATGTAAGACTTGATGATATACTGCTTAGCTACCCTAATCGATATATGTGGAACGAAATTTCAACATCCACCCTACTAATTTGAAGTCAGGTGGTATCACTATTAGCTATCACAGTGAAGTGCATTACAACTTTATGCACAGCACATAGGGTCTATCTAAAATGATAGAGGTCACTGCTAAAGGATTATTCAATGTGTAATTTAATTAAACACTAGAAGTTCACTTGTCTCAGATAATTACGCTTGACTTCAAAGTGTAATAAGAATATCCGACTGAATTTTAAATAGAATGAGGTATTAATAGTTGCAAATCTTGAGATTATGTCAGATTACTTGCATTACTTACTTACGCCTGTTACTCCTCGTGGAGGAGCATAGGCCTCACCAGTATTCTCCGTCCAACCCTGTCTTGGACAAACCTTTCCAGTTGTTATTAATTATTTTCATGTTTGCTTCTATTTCACGATGTAATGTGTTCTTTGGCCTTCCACTTTTCTGCTTCTATTGAGGATTCCATGTTAGTACTTGTCTCGTGATGCAGTTTGGTGATTTCCGTAATGTATGTCTTATCCATTCCCATCGTCTTTTCCTGGTTTTCTCTTCAGTTGGAAGCTGTTTTTTCTCTCCCATAGTAGGCTATTGCCGATGATATTCGGTCAACGGATATTGAGAATGTTCAGCAGACAACCGTTTATAAATACTTACACGTTCTTGATGATGGTTGTCGTAATCCTCCAAGTTTCAGCTCCGTAGAGTAGAACTGTCTTGACGTTCGCATTGAAGATTCTGACTTTGATATCGATTGAAAGTTTTTTTGATTTCCATATGTTCTTTAATTGTAGGAATGTGGTCCTTGGCTTTGTTGATCCTCGCCTTTACGTCTGCATCCGATTCTCCATGTTCATCGCTGATGAGGTATCATTCTTTCCAGTATGTCAGTGGTACTTGTTCTTTCTCCTAAATCTTCCTGAATAGAACGTGTATCTTGTTTGCGATTACTTCTGTCTGACTTTGTTGCTCTGAATGGTATATTGTCAGGTCTTGATGCTTTCCTACTCTTGTTTTGTCTGATGGTAAACCTGATTTCGATCGTTTGTGGAGTGACGTCTTCAGGATTGTCTTTGTGAGATGCTTCGATGTACGGTGATTTTAGCTATACTGGTCTATTCAATAGTTCCTCAAAGTGTTCTACCCACCTGTTCCACTGCTCTTGAATCTCAGTGATTAGCTGGCCTTCTCTTTCCCTGACTGGTCTTTCTGATTTTCTGTGTTTCCATGCTAGCTTCGTCGTTGTGTTGTATAGTTGTTGCATGTTTCCTTCTGTTGCAGCTTTCTCGTCTATCTCTGCCAGGTCTTTCACGTAATTCTGCTTTTCGGCTCAAATCTTCCTCTTTACTTGTTTGTTTGCTTCTCTGTATTGATCTTGTGCCTTGATTCTCGCTGTTCTTGTTCGGCTGATGTTATTTACTGTCTTGTTCTACCTTTCTTGAATCTTGTCTAGGGTTTCAATGGAGATCCATTCCTTATTATGATGCTTCTTGCGGCCCAAAACCAAACCTCCTGACACGTTGAAGTTAGTGCTTCTTGGATTTCTTTCCAGTTGTCCTACATAGTACGTCACTGATTCTATTGAGGCGTTGTTGATTAGAATGTCCAGCCATAACAAATCAGTATTCTGAAAACAACTTAAGCCTTAAATGAAGCAAGTTTGAAGACATTGCTGAAAATATGTGAAATTTAATTAAAATTTATTATGATTTTACTTACATCAGTGTAGTGGATAACTAGTACATTTACTGCGCAGTTAAATATTTCATATTGTGTTTAAACCTGTCATAATAACACAATACAATTTTATACTGCGTACTTTGAATTTAAGTTCTTGTTTATGTCATGTCGAAGTTCTAGACTTATTGAAATTAATACCTTTTCGTTATACTATTTCAAATTCACTAACAATAGCGATAATGTATACACGAATGCTCGATTGTTTACAAAACGTTTTCCCACTTCTAATTTACTAATCAAAACATCAATGGGATAGTTAAGTATTTTATATTATCCTTCATTAGCCGGAACTAAACATTCTAATGACTATGAACATAAAAATACAAGATCATGATGCATCATAAATAGTAAATTACACTATACACAACTAAAAATATTTTCTCTTAATCTATATAACAGGTTTATAATTAATGTGTGATTTATAGATGGGGATTGATATAGCAACAGTTAAACCTTACAATCAGAACAAAAAGTCTGAGATCACCTGCTTCACAAATAAATACCAAATACTGTATACATTGATTTACCAAGGTTTAGCAGTTTTATTTATTCGCTCTCTCAGCATCCAATAAAGTATCAAGTCACTTCGTATGGTAACTAAATTTCGAACTTGTTTGATGATAAAGTTGTTATAACTTGTGTGTTTGTGCCCCTGTCAATGTATGACGTAATGATACCGCCAATTAGAGAACAGTGAGTTGTCGACCGAATCAATGGCTCATATAACCAGTACGAGAAGTCTGGAGTCTTTATTGGTCCTGCTTCCCGCCTGTTAAGTCTAGAACAGCAATCACAGCCTCTGAGATATGAATTATTTATTTCAAACATACTGGGTTTATATATCAAGCAAACAGACCACATCGTACCCAGTTGATCGGTGCGTGTACATGATCTATTCGTAATAATAGTCTATCAAAGATAAAATTTATCTTTGTTAATATCTCTTGCTTCCATGCTGAGTGTGAAGTCTTGTTAACTTATGTTAATCTGAAGCTAGTTTAATATCTTTCGCCAATTCCAATGAATCTTCTGTTTTCAAAAGAGTAAATTTAATAACTATCCACTTTATTCATAGTGATGTATAAATCTTGGATGTTTATTTTAGAGAGTTGCTTCTTGAACCATTTGTCAAAAAATACATGACACCCGAGGATATCATCACTAATTTGGTTAGGGAATGACTGATGTACTTACACAGACTGGAGACTAATATCCAGAACTTTTTGAGTTCTCTTTATTTATTCCACAAAGTGCTCTTTATTTACTTAGTGATAACAAATAAATATTAAAAAAAAAACTCGAATGATATTGACATTAAGCTAAAAGTTACCACTTTAAAATTTTAGGTTTATAATCATAAATGCTAGCCTAAAACTTGTTTAAAAACGACACTTAATTGGAATGGTTTGTTTTCTATAAGACCTGTGAAGTTATATTTGTCTTATCAAGAGAATAGAACAACAATCGAATAGGTTGGTGTGATATTACAGACAGAGAAATTTGAACTAAATTTGTTCGTTATCGTAACGTATTTCGTGTAGTGACGAGAGTAAGAAATCCCAATTTGACCTATTTTATTAAGTTTAGTTAATTGGATTATACCACTATAGAATTAAATTGAAAAATTCAGCGCACCAGGAAAATTTCATAGTTTAAATCACCAGATGATCTTAGTCATTCAGAGCACTGAAGTCAGACATAGAAGTAATCGCAAACAAGATACACGTTCTATTCTGGAAGATTGGGGAGAAAGAACAAGTACCACTGACATACTGGAAAGAATGATACCTCATCAAGTGCAAGAACTAGAGGAGCATTACATTACTATGAGTGCGAGGGAATGCTTCCAACGGAATGTTACTGAACCGGATGAAAGATTTAGTAGACGCTGAGTTTCGAGATCAACAGGCTGGATTGCGTAAGGATCGGTCGTGCACAGACCGAATCGCGACACTGGTTAGTCGATGAACCATCGATTGGATGGAACTCGTCACGACACGTCAACCTCTTCGATCATGAAGAAGCGTTTGGCAGTGTGGATAGGAGGACACTATGGAACCTTCTTCAACACTATGGAGTTCCTGAGAATATCGTCAACATCATCCGGAATTCATACGATGGACCACACTGCAAGTGTGTGTATGGAGAACAGCTGAAAGACGCATTCTGAGTGAGGAGCGGTGTCAGACAAAGCTACCTAC